AATAGTCATTGCTCGAGTTAAAGTGGCCCGATACGAAAGCCAGATACTTTTTTTTTTTTTTTTTTTTTTTAATAATTATGCAATAATTTAGTTGTAGTGCAGTGGTGAACAGACTCAGTGTTGGGCAGCTCGTTTCCACGTCATAATGGCTGGTGAAGGGGAAGACGATGGCGTTTTATTTGAGGTTAGTTGATAGGTTTAGTGGGTAGCTACATCTCTTGCTGCTACTGCTGCTACTGTTGGATTCTATTTGGCCAGGCATAGCAAAGTCATGTTTGTATTACACTGTATTGTTGCAATGATTTCCTATCATGATTCATTGATTGGTATTGGTACAGTACACGTAGTACATTCATATATCCATATTATCAGGAGCAACCACTACTTAGTACATAACCCCCTCAATTTACAGCCTGTTTGGGCCCGTTCCTGTCACTCGAGTTGAACCTTTGAACCAAGGAGTCGTAAAAGCCTCTTACGACTCCCTGCTTTGAACCTTTGAGTTGAACCTTGGTGTGAAAATTGTAGCCTGCAGGCACGGTGACCAGGTGACTGGTGTACGCACAAGCACGTGACCGCTTATTCAACCGTGTTCGATTGGGAATAAGGGCCGAACGCTGCATCTCAGCCTTTTCGGACCAAAACCAGTCGACTCAGCAGCCAAAGACTACAACATATGCACCAATCGTAGTCATCCGTGCTTTTATAAGAGTGAAATGGCGTTTTTAGTGACTTTGCATACAAATCCCTATCTAGTAGGGCGCAGTCACCCAGTTTCGGTGGAAGTGCGCGAGTTCGATTGGGAATAAAGGAAGAAGGGAGCGTATCAGCTTCCTCGGACCAAGACCATTCGACTCAGCACCCAGAAGACTACAACTGGTGAACATTTGATTTTAGGGTATACTTCCCCTTTAACATTACTGGTCTTTCAGTAATAGTACATGAATGCATACAGATTCCATTGTAACTCAGTTCTCGCATAGTATTTTCGGTGGTAATGGATACTAGACATAGTCACTCCCATGCCAGAATCTAATACTAATACATGTAGTAGTCGAGGGTAGCTGCACAAGTTTTAACTATGGAGACTTTATTTATTTCGGAATTGTGTGTTGCTCTCTGCATAGGAGCTCATGCTTTTCCTGCCAACTTGAATTCACACTTGACTGACTCACGACTTCGCTATGATCCAGGGCACGCGGGAAGTCCATCAAACTTATTTACTTTGGAATATTTATTTTGTACAGATAAGGAATGCTCATCATGTGGGTGACTATGAGTTCTTCGTATATGTTTTGTTGTTACTCAGAGTTCCATGGTAAAAACCAATCATCAAACAACAACTAAGCTCGGGACTAATAGTCTTAACCATTCGAAAATAAGCGCTGGGGGTACGATAAGCTCGGGAGGGGGGTCTGAGGTCGGGGCGAGCTGAAGAAGGCGGCTACACCATGTAAACGCTCTCTCTAAAATGACTGGGTGCCAGATCAAGGCGGACTTATCGTAAGCCTAGGGTTGAATTAGCCCGGGCTTCTTTTTCTCATGTAAACACCCCCCCCCCCCCCCCCTGAGTGTGTGGTTTAGATCCCCGTCTTGTGTGGAGAAAAATTGAAGTTCACTCAATTGTGCAGCCTCTCAGTTGACAGATTTCATTGCTGCCTCCGCATGCAACTAGGAAAACTTGTTTTGCGCAACCTCGCAGTTTATATATTTTTCAAGAGGCATGGCACTGGAGTTTGCTAATCAATTAATTGTTTGCTGCCACAAAATTGTCACTCTTTTCACAAGAAAGTGAACCATGTGTACTATATCTTGTGTGTGTATGTGTGTGTGTGTGCGTTCGTGTGGGCGTTCGTGTGTGTGTGTGTGTGTGTGCGCGCGTGCGCGCGCGTATGTGTATGCATATGTGTGTGTTAATTCGTACTGTATTTGGGCACGTACACATGCACTTCATGTGGTTCTTCAGGGTTCGCCATTGCTGGAGCATTTACAAGGTAGGAGTGTGGGTGGTCTTTGTATTGAATGTATTTTGTGTGAAAGCACAACCAGACCAGTGTACGTGTACTAGACCAGTGGCAAATGAAACCCTGCTATTGCTACTGCCAATGCCACTACCACACTGCCAATGCCACTATACCACTGCCCCTAGTGATTGCTACCATGGCTATTGCCACTGGCCACTGTCCTTTGGCCTGGTCCACCACCACACAAACCACTACATGGCCCTCCAACAGTGTGGCATAACGTTTGGAGGGGAAGTGGTGCCAACCACTGACAACAACAACAACAACAACAACAACAACAACAACAACAACAACAACAACAACAACAACAACAACAACAACAACAACGGCGGGAGGCAACGTCAACAACAACAGAAACAACAACAACAACAACAACAACAACAACAACAACAACAACAACAACAACAACAGCAACAACAAGCATGACTCTTATGCTTTATTGTTTGAAGTCACTTTCTAACAAATTGTTACTGTACTTGTGAAGTGTGTTGTTGTTAGTCACATGACCCTCTCTGTACTGTGCTTGTTTCTTTGGCAACCACAGATGTTGGTGTTCTAGATGGGCTACACATAAGTAAGAAGGTGGCGTCACAGCCCAGCGATGGCCACACACTCGTCCTTGGCCTTGCCCTTCAGGTATGATCCCGATGTTTGCAATGGTGTCTTTAGCTTGGTCAGTTGAACTTAACAATCTCCAGATTTTGTTGGTTAGCGACATGAAATGTTAACGAATTCTGGCTGTGGAAACTGGTAGACGACCGTACTTGTCTACAAGTGAACAGACTTACTTCTGATAAATGTGACTTGAAGAAACAATTGTCGATTTACTGTCATCACCACCAGGACTCAAACCAGGGACCCTCGCTTATGGCCAGCTATGCGGCTCTACCACTAAGCTTTCTTTACATGGTTAAACGTAGAAATGTTTAGTAGCGAACGTGGTCTTACAGTACTCCCGGTATTCGCCTGATTTAAACTCCTATCCCGGCTACATTGTACCCAGAGTCCAAAACAAGAGTGCTGTAAACAGGCAGTCCTTTGCCATGGGTGTGAAATCACAGAAGTAAGCCGGCGTGAAACGTATAACAGTACAACCAAAAGTTCCAAAACTAATGAGGTTGGCTCCCGTCGCGAAAATGTCCAGGTGCAAATTGGTCTGTGCTCGCAAATCGCGAACTAAAACCAGAGCAAACGTTTCCCGGTTTACACTATGCAACTGTACTTATGGTTCAGTGTGCAGCGGCGTGCTGCCTTCATTGTGCTGGGTGGCAGGGTGGATGGCTGGGTGGCATCGTGGGTGGATGGGTGGCAGGGTGGGTGGATGGCTGGCATGTTGGATGGATGGCTGGCAGGGTGGGTGGATGGCTGGCATGTTGGATGGATGGCTGGCATGTTGGATGGATGGCTGGCATGTTGGATGGATGGCTGGCATGGTGGATGGATGGGTGGCATCGTGGGTGGCATGGTGGATGGGGGGGGTGGCATGGTGGATGGATGGCTGGCATGGTGGGTGGATGGGTGGCATGGTGGATGGCTGGCATGGTGGGTGGATGGCTGGGTGGATGGCTGGCATGGTGGGTGGATGGGTGGCAGGGTGGATGGCTGGGTGGATGGCAGGGTGGCATGGTGGGTGTACTACTCTGCTGTACAGTAAGGGTGATGCGTGGCATGACGCATAGTTGGCTGCTGTAGGCGACCACCAGCAGCATGCTTTAACTGAAAAAGCGCCGTCTATATCGTACTGCAGTCTGCCTGTCACGCAGGCAAGAACAACACAGTACCATGGTTTTCTGCCCGTCGAATCCTTGCTGCAGAAATTGGTTAATCCCAATCTGATCAGGCAGAGGAGGTTCCAGGTTTGCCATGCCATGCCAGGAGGCAGGAACAGCTTCTGCTTTGGGCTGCTTGGCGAAAATTCCAGACGAGCTGATGTCGGGGCATTGACTCAATTATCAAAGAACTTCAACCCGCCCGCAGTCCAAACAAGGAATGACAGAGCTGGCCCTCTCACAGGAACATTCAAGTACTAGTACTAACCTCGCCCGACGGTGCTTGACTTCGGTGGTCGGACGAGAACCGGTATTTTCAGCGTGGTGCATAGCGCGGCATTGTCGGCAAACTGCGACTCAGTTACATCAAGGTGCTCAAGGCAACTCTTGGTTGTACGATTGCCGGCGAGCTTGTCACCTGAACAATAACGCAGTGGGAAGCCAGGAACAGAGGAAATTGTTCGCCAGTGGGCCACAACAGCTGCGAAATAGATGTTGAACATAATAGGAGCAAGTGTGCATATGGCCGTAGACATGCAATAAGGTTCCCTTCTCAAAAACCGAGAATTTAGTCATAGATAAGTTGGTGACAGCGCCATCGCGAACAAGAGCACCACTCTTGAACCCAAAGTCATGAAGTAGCCGCAGCGTTTCCAGCAGACACGCCAATGTAAACTTGAAATCTAGCGAGGAGTGCGATGTGAAGTAAGGACCATATACGTTGAACTTGGCACTCATGTCTCGCCAGACGAACTGGAGCACGTACTCGGTGCGGTCCGTTTTCTTCTCGCTGAGGTCTGAAAGCACGTCGCACAGACTGGCCATGTCAGCATCTGTCATTGCCAGCCCATACAGCTCTTCGTTGCGGGAATCCCACAATACCTTGCTGGTGACTTTCACTTCATGGCAAATGTAGTAAATGATAGGATCGTTGGTCTGGACTGGTCTGGACTGGTCTGGACTGGACTGGACTGGTCTGGACTGGTCTGGACTGGTCTGGACTGGACTGGTCTGGACTGGTCTGGACTGGTCTGGTCTGGACTGGTCTGGACTGGACTGGACTGGTCTGGACTGGTCTGGACTGGTCTGGACTGGTCTGGTCTGGACTGGTCTGGACTGGACTGGACTGGTCTGGACTGGTCTGGTCTGGTCTGGTCTGGTCTGGTCTGGACTGGACTGGACTTCCTACTGTACTACCTACTATTATTGCTTCTGACTGTCACATAAACAGCTCAGTCGGTAGATGCTTATGCTTATAGTTTTATTAATCAAGGCTCAACAAAGAGAAGCACACAGAGAAGAGGACTGGGGAGAACTAATTAGAAAGGGCTGCAATCGAAGAGAGAACAAGACGAGAACAAGTGCAGGTGATCCCCTCGCCCATAGGAGGAGTAGCCTCTTTGGCCTTCTCCGCTTTCACAGCATCATACCTAGCCTTCTGGTACTGGATGCTTCCATCGCACTTGCCAGGCTTGTCCATGTAGGCACTTGTAATGTGCTGGAGGGATCTGACACTTGGCAGCTTCAGGATACCAAATCCTTCGATTGCCTCATAGGCTTCTCTGCTTCTTGTGAACACTGCCAGCGCAACCCTACACGTGCGGATGTGTTGCAAGAGAAGGATCCATGAGCAGGATTTGAACCCAGCACCCCTGTCTTTCCGGGACAGTGCCCTACCGATTAGGCTACCGGGGATAACACACACTCATGGGTCCTTCTTGCTACACTGCTCCCCACCCCAACACTACACAGGCTGTGTCCTCATGCCGTACCTACTCGGGGGGAGGGGGGGGGGGGGAGGGGGTACGATGGGTCCTGGGTGGTTTGGAGCCAAAGTTGTCAGCCAATGTTGTCTATTATTATTAATAGGTTGTAGCAGTCGTAGTTTACAAGTACACCAGTTGGGATTGGGAGAGTGTGATATTCCACAAGATTCGATTAGGGAAGTTAGAACTGGCTCAAGATAAAACTACTCTCGGTAAGACAAAGTTAGACTGGATGGCTTCGGGCCAAAAGTTAGACTAGCACTCATCACGACAAGACTAGACTATGTTCCAACAGTTGCCATGTGAGCCATTTTCATTGGTTATGTTCCCAAGCACCTTCATCAGACTCCCATGCATCTTTCAAGGCTTGACATGAGTTTGTGTAATCTTCTTCACTTTCAATCTTGGTCTATGACCTTGCTGGCTTGCAACATCTCTGATGCCTGTTTCTCGGACAGCGTGGTAGCCAAGTGCTGGCACTTTGGCAAGGGCGCGTGTAAGATTCCACCGCTTCTCACGCCTGCTTGTGAAGCGCGCAGATTGCTCTTTGGCGAAAGAAACTTACCGCACGTGCATTAGCGGAGCCAATCAACGCCCAATCTGCAAGTTTTAGGTCATGTAGCAGATGACAGTGGCAGTGGGAATTTTGAGAAAAAAATGCGTGTCTTCGTGTCTGCACTAAGGCTTGGTGACCAGCTCGAACCTTGTTAATGTTCACGCTCTTGTCTGTCTGCATGATCTCCAGCAGCCCGTATTTCACAACAGCAAAACTGTTCGACTCTGCTGACACACAGGCTGAGAAGAGAGCTCTCTTGATTCTGGCATTTGTGAAAAAGGCATGCACAAAACGGAAGCAGCTATGTTTGGTCTTGGTTTTGTGTTTCAGACATGGCTCTCCGGTGCATTGGAATCAGCTTCTGAGTTGCTTGGTCACGTCCTATTAATTGCAACAGGAGTAAGTCTGTAGTATACTCTAATTGCAGAAATTTTAGGTGCTCAATATTTTCGGTATGAGGGCAAAAGGCCAGGTTAGGTGAACAGAAATTTTCGGTGCAGAGAAGCAGTTCCCTATTATGTGTGTTGTTGTTTATTAGGTGTATTGAGAATTTAGGTATGAAACAGATGCACCAAAAGTACTGAAAATAAAAGTACACCGAAAATTTGTGAAATTACAGTAGTAACTTTATGGCTGTATGCGTTGTAATTACTAATTTGCTATGATCATAAAGTTATGCAAGTACGTGTGCGAATATTATTATTATTATTATTATTTGTAAGAAAGGGTTTGCTCCCCACACCGGAGCTCAGAGCACACCGGAGCACCCTTTCTTACAAATCATCGCCGAAGTCGCAACCACTACTTATTATTATTATATCTCCACGTAAGCTTTTTAATTATTATTATTATTATGACATGTGCGTACAGGTGTAAGACAGTGTACACCGTACCACCAGTGCCCCGTAGTGTCTTGTGTAAAAGCCTGTCTCAAATAGAACCCGTTTTGAATAGCGGCCTGATCTTCAAGATGTACTGGTGACACATACGCCTGGTATTAGTGTTGACATACAGAGAAGTACTTAGTGCGAATACAAGCCTGACTTGAATAGAAGCCTAGTCCTGACATTGGTTTCTGTAGGAGTAAGCCTGGCTTTTAAACGCAACATTGCGGTAGCTGCATTCACCTGACTGGAAACCCGTTTGCCAACTGTAATCCTCGTAGCCAGTGCTTGTGTGTGAGTCGCGAGCTATGATTACTCACATAGGCAATTCCCATATATTCACTGTGTGTGTGTGTGTGTGTGTGTGTGTGTGTGTGTGTGCACATATGTACTTGTGCTTTTGTCACTGTGGCGTGCAGGCACGACATGCCAATACTTGCAGCATTAGTCTTCTGATGCAGTCACGTCTGCTCAGCAATGATGATCAAACTCTCTTGGCGTTTTTTGATGAGTCCGCTTTCTCTATGCAACCAGCTGCTACCGATTCCTTGCCGTCTTCATCAAGTTCGTTCAGGGTACGTATCACTGTTTTTACAGCATGTGTGTGTGTGTGTGTATGTGTGTGCACGTGCGAGCGCATGCGTGCGTGTGTGCGTGCACTCGTGCGTTTGTGTGTTTGTGTGTGTGTGTGTGTGTGTGTGTGTGCACACGTGCGAGCGCGTGCGTGTGTGCGTGCACGCGTGCGTGTGTGTGTATGTGTGTGTGTGTGTGTGTGTGTGTGTGTGTGTGTGTGTGTGTGTGTGTGTGTGTGTGTGTGTGTGTCACATATGGTGCAGTGGTATGTGCAGTCGATTTCCAATCGAGAGGTTGCGGGTTCAATTCCCGACGATTATGGTCGCACACGTCTTTCTTCTCTTTCTCATTCTCCTAGCTCTTCTTTCATTCTCCCGGGTGGTTACCAACAGCCAGTGTATGCCGGAGTATGTGGTGTGGTGTGTGTGTAGAAAAAGAAAGAAAAAAAATGAAAAAATGGAAAAATGAAAAAATAGGGATTCACTGGCCAGAAAAAGTCACTTCAATCAGCTGTGTGGTGGATACCAGGCTAAAAATAGTGGCGATCAGCCTTGCAAGCTGTTAAATGGTGCAATCCCAGCACAAGTTGCTATGTCTAACATAGCTGTTCGCTATCATTGCTTCCGCGATGGGCATGTCTGAGGTCTGAGGTGTGTGTGTGTGTGTGTGTGTGTGAGTGTGTGTGTGTGTGTGTGTGTGTGTGTGTGTGTGTGTGTGTGTGTGTGTGTGCGTGCGTGCGTGTGAGTACGTATGAGTGTGTGTGCGTGCGCGTGATAACATTGGAGCTGGTGGCTGTTCTGACTGGGCAGTGGGCGGGATTGGCTCCTGCTTTACCTTGTCTTTCCTTGTTGCAGCGGTGCCTTAGCGTGGCTACATCGGGCGACACCGTGCGGACTGAGGTAACATTGGAGTCTTCTGACGAATCAAACTCTTCGCCTGCATGTACTAGTGTATCATCGCCACCAGAATCACGCGCTGTGGTCTCATCGGCCTGGCTCTTCTCACCAGCAAGTGCCAAGTCGTCTGCAGCCTCCGTGTCGTCTTGTGTCAACTGGTAATTGCTGTTAGTTGATTGTCGGGCTATTGTGGACTTGAGGAAGGAGGATAATGGCATGCGTTGCCATGGTGGCTTGAAGATGTCTGCCTAGCTGGCACCGCTGCGTACTGATTTCTTCTTTCTTTTTCTCCCTGACGTATGTCCCCGGAGTGTGTTGACATGTTTCTCATGGCCTTCCACATACTTGGGCCCCCAAGATTCCAACTCGTCGTATGGGATGTCTATTACAGCGGCGTCCTCGCTAGCCGCGCAAATCATATGCTGACGTTCATCACTTGATGTTACTGCCCCTGATGTTGAGAACACTGTGTCCTACAACCAGTGAGTTGCAGACTCACTGGAGCCAGCCACTCTAACGCTGTCCACACACTAGCTGCAAACACCGAGCAAGCTGAAATTCTCTATATGCTGCGAGGCACATGATCAGAACAGTTTTGTTCAGGCACACTGATGGGAAATCAGGTGACAAGTAGTGAATGTCAAAGTGCTGGCAATGCTAACAGCTGCAGCGCTTTCTCTACAAGAAAGGCAATCAACTGCCTTCCTCGTCACCTCGCATTTCTGGCAGGAACACCAATCGATATTTCCTTGTCAATCAGTGAAGTCGCCTGCACCAATCTCCTGGCCCTCTCATCAGGCTGCACGTCTGCCAGGGGCACCTCAGGTCCTTCAGGCTAGCCGCGCAAATCATATGCTGACGTTCATCACTTGATGTTACTGCCACTGATGTTGAGAACACTGTGTCCTAAAACTAGTGAGTTGCAGACTCACTGGAGCCAGATATCAAGCAAGCGGTGGAATCTGTCCACTCTAACTATGTCCACAAACTAGCTGCAAACACCAAATAAGCTGAAATTCTCTATACGCTGCGAGGCATATGATCAGAACAGTTTTGTTCAGGCACGCTGACGGGAAGTTGGGGTGACAAGTAGTGAATGTCAAAGTGCTGGCAATACTAACAGCTGCAGCACTTTCTCGACAAGAAAGGCAATCAACTGCCTTCCCCATCACCTCACATTTCTGGCAGGAACACCAATCGTTGTTTCCTTGTCGACCAGTGAAGTCACCCACTCCTATCTCCTGGCCCTCATCAGGCTGCGTTTCTACCAGGGGTACCTCAGGAGGTCCTTCAGGTTCCTTCAAGTATGGCTGTAGTTGTGAAACTTGGGAATGTCGACCAAATTGCCCTTCACTACCAGAAAATTGCAGAATGGCTCAGACCACGCAGTGGTTGCCAGCTATTCTGGGGGACCATGAACGGAGCCATGGTGAAATCTTAGCTTGGATGCCCAAAGCACTCACGCCATTGACGTCGAACTGAGTTCGGAGCGCAGCTGGTGAAGGCCTCGTGTAGAAAATCGACAGTCTTGGCAGTTATTTTGTAACCTTTGCCACAAGACTTTTCGTCCAAATCATCATCCTCCCTTTCTGAACCGGCATCATCGTCTTGCTCAGCAAGATCGCCGGGGAGGGACACAAACGAGCTGCTGACACTCCGCGCCGTGGACATACAGGAGGCGCTCCGCGCCGGTGATACGTTGTGCCGAAGTTTCCAAAGTCGATACACGATCAGCAACTTTGGACAGGTCGGAACCAATGGATTCGACATTGCCACTCAGCGTGTTGACATTCCCACTCAGCGTCTTGAGACTCTCCATAATGAGCTGCACGTCTGAGGAGTCCATGGTCAGGATAGAGTGGACTTGACAGTTTGATAATGAAACTTGAAAGGCGGTCTACAGTAAGCACAGAGACACACCAAGTTAGAAATACAACCAAAAGGAAGTACAAGACAACAGTCGATATCGAGATCGAACAGCTTGCCAAGAAACTTACTTCGAGCGAGCTAGAAAAAAGGTCGAAGAACATAGAGGGAACAAGGGCTTTTATCAACGATATCTGGTGTTTCACGCATGCGTCAACACCAAGAAATCAAATAAAATCACAAAATTCATGAATTTCCACTACAAAAAAGCTATCAAGAGTTAGGAAACTAGGCCGAACACGTTGATATGGAGACAGAGCATTCTGAAGTATAATTCAAACAACTACTGGTAAGATCTTCAAATGCAGAGAATTTGATAAATAATCACACGTGACATCATCAAGGCCATCCGCGGAGGAGACAAACTTGTATAGCAGCCCTGCTACGATCTACAGACACTCACTCACAGGCATTGGACATATCAAAAGGAAAATGGTTCTTGCCAACTGTCCGTGGTAAAAGGCCATCAACCACTCAACCAAAACGAAGGATCTCGAAAAAAGATATAGTCACAAATATTACACTTGGGCCTCTATGGCTTTATATATCGACTTTTGGGTCTAGTTTTCTCGATTTTCTATTCCTTGGGGACCGTATGAGGCCCCATGAAGAGAACACACTACCGAGAATATTCCTGGAGTGCTTTTTAGATCACTCTAGGCACCGGGGAAGTCTTGAACTGCAAACTGAAAGCAAAGACTGTGGAAGAGTCCATCAGAGTTGGCTCTTCATAATTCAAACTGGCGTGCGGAAAAAAACCCCATGGAAAGCTTGCTTGATTGTCATCTGTGGCCTTGGTGATTGGCCGTATGTAGTAGTGCTTGTTGTACATGTTACATCATGCTGATTCATGCATATTGATCACAGCATCATAACATCAGCTAGATGTACACGTGCATGCATAAAACAAACAGCAGAGAGAACAATTTGAATACGCTATGCAGAAAATGACATGGAATCTTTTTTTTGTATTATGTATGCCTGTCGCTCGTAGTCTCTTCTATTTTATCCTGACCCTACTCCTTCCCGGATACGGGTCTACTCAACACAAAGCTCCGCGTTGAAACTCGTTCCAGACTCTCCCAAAATCATATTTTAAAAACTGGCGAAATGGAAGCACTGCAAGACCTAGACGCGAATGGCACGGCAAAATAGTTGTCACAAGTGACTGCTGTGAGAACAAGTGACAAAGAGACACCAGGCGGTGACTCTTTATTACGCTGAAAACATCCAAAACGGAGAGAAGTACTGTAAAAATACTAGCCTCAAAAGGGAAGCTCGAAAACAAAAAGAAAATGTACCAGGAGAATATCCCTGAACAGAGAATTGCCACAAAACCTCGAAATAAAACAATGAAACAATAGCTAGACAACAATGCTGGTGTCTGTGTGGTTCGGCTGAAGAGCGCGTGGTTGTGATGAGTTGGGAATGCAATAAACAATGGGAGAAATACAAGAAAGCACTAACCTGGAGAAAAATGAGTACTTTTGTAACTTTCCCAGCAGTCGTATGCGGCGCTTATCTTCTTGTCGTATTATGCAGAACATCGAATCTTTTATGAAAGTCCTTGAAGCGTGTATCTGTATGCCTGAAACAGGTGTGTAGCGCGTGCACGTGCCAGTTATGAGCACAGCTTTAGGCGGGAAGTTGCTATTGGCTGGCCTCTTTTTTTGGTGTTTTGTGGCGGGCAAATATAATAGAGTTGTTGCGCCATTTCTCTGCCTGGTTCTATTTCTATGTTGTTGCAGAGAAAACTGGTCTTCTCATCGCTACTGGCTGTAGTCCTGGGTTTGTTGCTGTCTGGGAGCATGATGGCTGTTGTTCTCGCGATGCTCATCTTGCTTATCATCACTCTGGTGTTGTCCTGTAACATGGTGAGTTGAGGAGTTGAGGCTGGCAGTGTAGTTACTAGTTACTCATTGGGTGCTTTCAAAACTACAGTACTGTCGGCCACCGAAGAACGGAGCACCGAAAAACGAAAAGCCTAGAATTTCACCAAGCACAGATCATCGAACATCGTTCGTTTGCCAGCCAAAATCGCAAGTCGAGCGACACTGTACATATATGTCATGTACATGCATGCGATTTTCGTCATCCAGCATAGCAAGCTGCGTTCGTTTCAGAGGCAGGGGAGGGGGTCCGAGTACGAAATGAACGATGTTCGTTTCAGGGACGACCCCTTATACTAGACTAGGATGGTGAAATCATCAACTGAACGGTGATATACAGGGTAGAGGTCTGTGTTTTGTGACACGAAATCTGGGTGCGGCTTATACTCCAGTGTGGCTTATACTTGGGAAAATACGGTTTGCTTTTTCAAAGATGGGTGAATTTGATTGCTAGATAGTGATGCTTTGTCTTAGCTCTGGCATGCTGAAGATGAGACTGCCAATACTGAAAAGCCCACACACATGGACAGATATGCATACCAATAACTTGGAAATTCATCTATTCATCAATGTGCTTTGTCTCTATGTTCTGTGTGCTGCATCGGTTGCCCACCCGTCCGCCTGCCTGCCTGCCTGCCTCGTTCCATTGTTTGTGTGTGTGCTGAAGCTAGTTGGTAGAGTTGTATCAATCCTGGATGAATGGCGTCGATCTTCTGAGCAGCTAAATGCAACGCTGGCACAGTCACTGCGACTAATGCAAGATATTGAAGTGGTTCACCACGGCTTTCTGAGGTGAGGTTTAGTGCAAAGTGCTGACACAGTGTGGGGTGGGGGTCTGTGAGCGAGCGAGCGAGAGAGAGAGAGAGAGAGAGAGAGAGAGAGAGAGAGAGAGAGAGAGAGAGAGAGAGAGAGAGAGAGAGAGAGAGAGAGAGAGAGAGAGGGGGGGGGGGGGGGGGGGGGGGGGGGGGGGAGGGGGGAGGGGTGGGGGGGGGGGGGTGGGGGAAGGGGGGGGAGGGGGGGGGGGTGACATTCTCCACACGCCTTTCAGTGCATGCAACTCATGCAAGTCCTTCAATCCTGCTGTTCTTCTTGTGTCGACGACCTGCTTGTCCCTGTCCATTTGACCATGTGGAATAGCAAAGTGCCCAAAGCTGCTAAGGTATTGTTGACTGTTTCCTTTTTTGGCTATCTGTTTCTTGTCCTTTTCTGTAGGCCATCACTAACAGGTGGGTCTGTTCGTCGCGATGGAAGTCTGTTCGCATCGGCCTCTTTGTCCTGTACATCAGCGCTGGGAACATCAGTTCGCAATTCCACGTTGCTCACCTACTATGCCTTTTGTCAGTTGACAAAAGCTCTCATTGAGAGGTTAGTTCTGGGAGGTAATGCTTTCCTCAGCTGTGTGGTGTCTGCATGCCGAGGATTTACACTACTACCCCGGTCACGTTCATCCATGGTGATTTGGTCGTGGCGCAGAATCTGAAACGTGAAAGTGGAAAATGTAGTCGCGACCAAAAGCTGCTGTTACCCGCGCACCCATGCACAACACAGCATACCGACCAGTATGGTTAACACTACATACATGTACATACATGTACATACATGTACATACATGGGCGCACCGCAGCACACTCGCATACAAGATGAGAAGGCGTGACTGTACAGGCAGCTTGTGCAGACAAGGTCAGTGCAGCTAGTAGCTTACAATAGTGGCATACCTGCTGAGAGACGGATGTAGCGGTCGCTGGTATTGCTTTGCCACCGTCCTACCATTTGATCCGGGCGTCACCTGCTCCCGGGGTAGCCATGTAGGTGTCTCGTCCCATACGCAATGAGTGTGAGGAGACTGCAGATGACTGGAGAGCGCTGTACAGCACCCTCGTCAGCTTCTCTCGGCACCGGTACCTTCCGTCAGAGAAGGTGAATACTGGAGCGCTACTGTTAGGATGCTGGGAACGATAGGCAGGCATGCTCTCTCAGTGTGTGCACTGGACACCGGTCATTGTACTGTACAAAGCGTGCGGTTCTGCTATGACTCCGTGGCTATTCTGGGACATCTTGGTCCGCTTTAACTGTACTGCGTATACCACTGTGTGTCCTCTTCAATAATGGGGACATCGGTGGCCAGGAACTCGCTGGCTTGTAGCAGGCTATAGAACGTGCCTGTTGCCAGTTGGATGCTACATTGACAGTATGCGAAGAATTATAGTCAGGAACTGCGCTCTGACGCAATCGAAGACTTGAGCTTGAGATAGACAGTGGCATGATCATACTGCGAATGAGTGCCTATGCCAGTGCCTATGCCAGTGCCTATGCCAGCGGCGTATGTCTGCATCGCACTGATCCTATCACACTTTGCTCTAATCTTCTTGACGAGGCTCAACTGCTACCGTTCTACAGTCACTATAACACAGCTCAATGAGTGACGCTACATGTAGATCAGTGCATCTACGATGTTCTTCCACTACAATAATCGTCCCTTTCTTGCACAGCACCGGATAGCTGTCTCTGAGTTTAAGGAGGTGTGAGACTTGGACGTTTGCAACTTGCTCACAACACCACACTTGCTGCACTTCACATTGTATCACACTAGCTAGGCCCTTTTTCTCCTCACCAGTGCAGTCGAGCAGTCGCCGTTCCGGCTTACAGGAACTGCAGCCCTTGTTTAGGAGCTCTGCCAGCAATCGCAGCTCCACAATGCGTCGTCCGATTAGTACATCATCGGGGAGCTCCACAGAACCAGGATTCGTGTCAACGCGGGCGCTGCAAGTGGGTCCACCTACGGGAGAGTGGTCAGTCACTTCACGCTCCACAGATGGCTCAAGCAGACTCCTACAATCACTAGTACCACTACTAGCAGGGCATGTGATAAGAAATTCGAAGTGCTCGGACGGCATGTCCTTTCATTTCCATTTTTGGCCGGACATGTCCGGACGTATCAAAACCCTTAAAAATATCGCCAACGATTTCAACACCGCAACTTCGCGATGGGAGCATAATGGATGGGATTGCTGCTCTGTGACTGCTCTCTCCGGAAGAGGCCCATCGCCCGCTTGTGCATGTCTGTTTCAGCATGATTTTTGAATGCGGACGTCCTCAGATTTCTTAAGCCGACGATGAAAGCCTCGCTGAAATTCTTGCTGCTTTTCACTTGCTCCTCGAATTTGACGCACACCGTGCATTTCAGAAGTTCCACCAATTGCCGGTCATCTTTCTGTCACTCGTACCTCAACCAAACGAAGGTACTCAGTTCCTTGTCACTATCGGAAACTCACTTGTCACAAGTAGACGTTTTCACTCCGTGTCCTACTTTCTTCGCCAGAGCAGAGCTCTCACCATCACCCTTCCTCTTTCCAAACATTTTGACAACGGCTCAACTCTCGTTCACCACTCACAAAAGTACTGTCTCAGTACACTTACAGATCTACGTGTACTCGACACCAACCGACAAGTGCAAGCGCGCTTCAACCAGCCTGCAGGCGTGGCCTGATATCCGGCTTGGCGCATGACACCCACGCCGGCCCAAGCCAGCCCTAACCCTGGTAACCCTGGTAACCCTGGTCACGGACTCACGGTACGGGCGTACTAGTTAGTAGTACATGTACGCGCCGCACACTTGAAAACAAGCACACATTGTGAGCATGCACACATCGCGAGCATGCACACAAATCACTGTACTTTTGAAGTAGTTCGATTTTTTCAAAAGCGCCAGGTCAAAGTGTCCGGACCCAGTGTTTTCGGTCGGATTTCCTCCGAAAACGTCCGGAAAATGTCCGATGTCCGGACGTTATCATGCCCACTGTACTACTATCCTGGATTTCTATGTACTGAGCTACTTCAGCCACAGGACTGCTCTTCTTGGTCTTCGCACCAGCAGAGTTCGTCCTTAAAAGTTTCAGGCGAGCCTCAGCAGCTTTCGGTTTGTTACGGCCAGAAGCCCTTCCCATCGTAGCAAAAAATATCAAGCACCTACACGGAAGAAGAAGATTCCAGGACAAACACAACTAAAATGTTTAACTACCCTTGACAAAAAGCTTTCACGGCAGCTCCTTTTCAAATTTCCACGTGGGAGCTCATACTTTTTGAATCTCGCGGCATTTGTAGGTACCATTTTCCACTGTGGGACGCAACTGTCCGGAGCCTCCTTAATCAGGAGGGGCATCCTCTGCTTGCCCCGAATGGATTGCAATTGATTTCCAGCAATCATACTTTCCTTCCACGAGTGATGTACATTCACTCCTGTTTCAAGTTTTTTTATTCTCTTCCAAATCTAAGACCATAAACTGGAGAGTTCTAGTGCAAGCCGGAAGTCAGGCAGTTGTGAAAAGGAACAAGTTTGAGCTGCTCTTCAACAGAATCATTAACAAAGAAGCTACGAATACACTGGAAACAAGCAGAACTTTACCAAGCAAAGTGCAAACAAAGAAAAGGACCCTGACGCGGAATCTGAAACGTGAAAGTGGAGAATGTAGTGGCGATCAAAAGCTGCCGTTTGGGTGTGAATCGTCAGCCATCTGTGCATCACCCAGGGCTCTCGTCTGTGACCATTTTAACACTTTGCCAAACGTGAACTGAATCGTGCGTCAAGTGAGCGATCTGAAGAGGGTTGTCTTGAAACGGCAGCCAGTTACGATATTCGTGAGATTGCATGATCTTAGTGTGAATTTCCGAGTAGATCGCATCCCATGTTGACAATTTCCTGTGTTTACTTTCATCAATTCACAATGCTAACGGTTATGTGAATACTAGTAATCGGCAAGGAGACGAAGGCCGTAGTAGGAAAATGAAAAAATAATGTGAATGCGCTCATCAGGAATCAGTCGCCACTGTGGGGTGCAGCTGAAACAGAATCAGAATACATAATCAAGTTGCACTTTTGAATAAATTGCCAGGCACGGATTAGACGATTCCAGACACTGTGATGAGTTTTGCACTTTTGTTAATATGGGCTTTTGGTTCAGGCCGTGCATTTTCAGCAGCAGTCAACAGATCCCAGTCCACGTTAGTGCACGTATTGCAACAGGCTGTCATTGGCAACGTGCTCATCATATTTGTGTGTGTGTGTGTGTGTGTGTGTGTGTGTGTGTGTGTGTTTGTGTTTCTGTGATACCTGTACTGTTCCAGGCACCCACTGTTAGGTAATGTGGACAGTATAGATCACTATCTATGCTATGCTGATCTCAACATACCAACACTGCAAGACCTGGGCGTCCAGTCAGCGGTAAGGCATTCACAGTATGCATGTACCAATGCATGTACCAATGCATGTACCAATGCATGTACCAATGCATGTACCAATGCATGTACCAATGCATGTACCAATGCATGTACCAATGCATGTACCAATGCATGTACCAATGCATGTACCAATGCATGTACCAATGCATGTACCAATGCATGTACCAATGCATGTACCAATGCATGTACCAATGCATGTACCAATGCATGTACCAATGCATGTACCAATGCTTTTTTTTTTTAGATACTAGTACTGTATGTCTTTGGCAGAAGTGTTAGCTATACATAGGACCTAGACTGCTGACAGCATAGCTGTAGTACAATACACCGGGGCGTGTGCAGGGGGGAGGGGGTGCCCTTTGGGTGCCAAAGCACCCCCCTCAAAAATTTCGATCTGGTTCGAAGGAGACCATAATACGCGGATCGCTGATCACATGTGCAGCTCTGCACATCGCACACTATAGCCATCCCTGTTCAGACCAGGGAGTAGTAGGTATTGTACTACTCCCTGGCTCAGACCTACGATGTATCTGAAACCAATCATGCAGTTGACTATTTTGTCCCACGATTGGCCATTTTGCAATGAAACTTCTGGTCAAGGGCAACTCCTCTTCGTACCTGCCGTTGTGCAGTGTCACATCAGGCCTCACAATCCACATTGTTTTGTTAGAAGCAAAGAATCATGCAAACACGCCATGGGTAGAAGTAGCAACACAGTCTACGGAAAACACACGTCACACATAGCAGTTTGTTGGCGCTATGTATTGTAGAATGTAGTTCTGGCTGTTGATTGGTCGCGTTGGAGGTTGTGGAAAGGCAAAGAAGTTTCTTTCATGCATGGCAAGTGTGGATACAGCAGCAGAAGAGTGAAAGTAACGTTGAAGTGCAGTTTGCATTTTTTTGTGGTAAATAGTGTAGGCTTGATCAAGGATGCCTTTACTGCACTATCAAACACGACGAAGAGAAAAAAAGGGTTCGATGGAAAGTGTAATAATTCTGGAGAAAGCAGCATCCAGGCCTTAGTCCATCATTAGTTGGAAGCAGTGAGTAGTAAAATACCTTATTACTACTCCCTGGTTGGAGGTTTGCCATTAACTGATTGATCTTCAGCGTCAAATGTGGGGCTGATTTTGCTTCCCCCACTTCCCCATATCACGGATCGAACAATATGCCTGAAAGGACCAACATACGTGTACTTTTGTGTGGGCTAAAGCCCATTTCGGCCGCATTTAAATTTCAGCCTATCCTGCTAGCATTCTGCTGCCTGTATAATTATACTGTAATGCTGAACCTGGCAAAAGAAATTTTTCGGCCGAAAATAGCCGAAAATAAATAATTATGCTTTCACTGGTTTGAGGGAAAGACGCCAACGGGAAAAGTCTAAAAAATTGATTGTCACCACCAGGATTCGAACCAGGGACCCTCGCTTGCGCCGAATATTTGTTGACTTACAGTACTAATTTGTTTGTACTGTACTGGGTGATTTGCTGATTTGCTTACAGGATGGTAGTACTATGGATCTGTCTCACTCCACGTTGAAGGTAAGACGTTTACCTCTGGCTAGAGTACTGTTCATTGGGCCGGTGAACGATGAAGACAGTTGAGTAGACAATCAGCTTTCCAGTATAGCAGTAGTCTGGCTCTGGTCTGGCCCAGTTCAACACCATGCATGCTCTGGCAGCTTATCTATTTATCCGTGCTCAGTAAACTTAGCTTTGTGATGTACATGTATTCCAACTGAAGATCATCACAAGAAAACCTTCATGAGACGTTGGAACTGCTTTGCTACATTGTGTGTTCACAGTAATGAGTGCCCTTTTCATTCTCACTGCGCAGTTCACATTCTCTTCATAGTGATAATCAAAATTGATGATTGTCTCTGCGTCGATTATTTTCTGTTTCAGACTGAGCATATTTTGTCTGTTTTGGTCGAGCATTTGTTGCCCCCTTTTGTTTTGTTTCTGCGGTGGTTTGTTTAGATGTATGTGAATCTACTGCGAAACCAGCAGTCGGAGTGCATCCGCCGGCTCTTGCTCTGCTTTACACCGAAAGCCCGGGGATTTGAGTTTGGTAGGTTGTGGTTGTGTAGCAAAGGTGCTAGTTGGGTCTTGGTTCACCTTGGTCCAAACCCAGCCGAAGCAGTATGGTCAGATAACGAGTGCTATAGTACGTGTACGTGTACGTGGTCATGCATAGTCTTTTCCAGTGTTCTGTGTACAAGTAGTACAATTTCGACGTATACATTGCCCTCTGCTCTTCTTTGCAAGTGGAATGTCCACATGCTGGATGACCCGTATCTCTATGGCGCGGGTCATTTTTATGACCCGTGTCTGCATGACCCGTGTACTACTTTTGAGTTCTCTCTTCAGACTAGTCTCTGCTTCCACTCCATTACTGCTCATGTGCCACTGATACCCGTGCTCCTTACAATGGCAATGTGTGTGTGTATGCGTGTGTGCGTGTGCGTGTGTGTGTGCGTGCG